GGGTCCGGGCTGGGGATTCGAACCCGCCACCTTAGGTGTACATGGCTGGCGCCTTAGCCGGTTGAGCTATAGGCGCCGAGCCCTGTTTCTTTTCTTTTTTTTAATTTCAGATTCATAAGAGGGTACAAATGATTAGGTTACAACGTTTGCAGTTGTTAGGTAAAGTCCTGTTATAGCTGTGTCCCACACCCAGGAGGTGTGCCGTGTACCCTTACATTGTGCCCAGTAGGTGGGAGCTTACCAGCCCCCCACCCCCAGCTTGAATTGAGTTTTTCTCTTGAGTGGGTATTAGTTTGTCTACTGGCTTCATATTAGTAGTGAGAACATTGGATACTTGCTTTTCCATTCTTGTGATACTTTACTAAGAAGAATGTGTTTCAACTTGTATTGCTGCTTCTGGAAAGATCAAGTTCAGACTGTTGGTTTCTTTTTTTTTGAGACAGAGTCTCATTATGTCACCCTTGGTAGAGTGCTGTGGCGTCACAGCTCACAGCAACCTCAAACTCTTGGGCTTAAGCGATTCTTTTGCCTCACCCTCCCAAGTAGCTGGGACTACACATGCCCACCCCAAGGCCCGGCTATTTTTTTGTTGTTATTGTTGCAGTTGTCGTCGTTTAGCAGGCCTGGGCTGGGTTCAAACCCACAGCCCCAGTGTATGTGGCTGGCGCTGTAACACTGAACTACGGCGCCGAGCTCCTGTTGGTTTCTTAATGAAGAGGACAGGGCCCTCCTCCAGCCTTCCCTCCTGGTTGCCTCCCTGTGTGTTAGATCATAATATTGGTTGGAGGAAATCCTAGAGTTTTCATTACTTCTCTTTGTGTTATTTTCTGCCATGAGCAAAGTATGTTAAGATTACCTACTCTTGTATACAACTGTTTTTCCTGAAGTTAACAAATGCCTTGTCATTCTGTTTGCTTGGTTTTTTAACATACTTATCACTAATTTTTTTGTATTCTTCAACAGAATTGATAAGCCCTCTGAAAATGTGGTCACATATATCAGGCCGTCTGCCAGCTCCCCTTTTTTCTTGGCATTATCCCTCGTCTCCCTCAGCCCTGTGTCTGTCTGAATCGCTGCCTTCCTTTCGCTTGGGCTGCATTCTCCTGTCTCTCTCCTGTGTGAGAACTTTCTAGTTCTATTTAAGATTTCTCTTGACTCCTAACCTTGCCACAGACTCAAGTGCTCAGTGTTGCCAGTTGAAAGTCTGACTGGGCTCAGCTGGTTTCTTTGCTTAGGGTCTCAAGTTGAAATTGGGGTGTTGAGGTTGTACTCCTTTGTGGAGACCCCAAGAGAGAATTTGGTTCTAGCTGTCCAGGGAGTTGGCAGAATCCAGTTCCTACTGTCACAGGGCCGAACTCCCTCTTTCTTGTCCTTGGTCATCTGGGGGCTCTGCTCAGCCCCTGGACATGATCCCTCTTCCTTGCCACACAGCTTCTTCATCTTTGGAGCCAGCAACAGCATTTCCCACCAGAGGGGCCCTGCGCTTTCTCAGTGTTCCCTGACAAAGTCAGGCCCACCAGGGCACAACCTTTCCCCAGAATTAGCTGTGCCATGTGACCTGACCCCAAGGTGGAGTCTGTCCTGCTCTTGCCCTGTGATCTGGCAAGAACAACTCCTGGTGCAGGGAGCTGTGCTGTCTCTGATTCTCCCTTTTACAGACACCAGTGTCTGGTTCCTCCTGACTTGTTCCTGGGGCCTGCTGGAGCTAGGCTTCCTCTAGCACCTGGGAGGGGAGGTCTGTCCTGAGGCCTGGCTTCCATGTCAGCAACAGTGGGCAGGACTGAATGTGCTGGGCACTGTGGTCAGCTCCGATGTTCCTCTCTGCGGGATCCGCCTTTCCTCCCCACCACTCTGTCTGGAGCCTTTCTCCATCTCCCTGTGTGGACTTAATGGTGCCTCCGAGGACGTCCTTTCCCTCGCTGTGCCCAGCGTGTTCAGTCTGAACAGTCACATACTTGAGTTCTGGGAAATGTATTTTTTTTTTTTTGAGACAGAGTCTCACTTTGTTGCCCTAGATAGAGTGCCATGGTGCCATAGCTCCTAGCAACCTCAAACTCCTGGGCTCAAGAGATCCTCCTGCCTCAGTCTCCCTGCCACTGTGCCTGGCTAATTTTTTTATCTTTTGTAGAGAAGAGATCTTGCTGTTGCCAAGGCTTGTCTGAAACTCCTGAGCTCAAGCAATCCACCTGCCTCGGCCTCCCGGAATATAGAATTACAGGCGTGAGCCACGGCACCTGGCCCTACAGTCTTTTGTTTCTGGTTATAATATAAAACTTTCTAGTCTGTTCTTGACTGCAGCTGGAGCGCTTTTGTCTGGGTGTGGGGCCAGGTTCCTGGGTTTTAAGTACTTTCCTCTTCCCTCACTGTCACTTCCATTTGTTTCTTTTTATTTTTCCTGTTCTTACTTTAGTTTTTGTCTTTTGTTTTGGAAGCTTTCCTCAAATAGCCAACCACTGTCTGTTGCCTTTAAGAGACCTTGGAGCCTGTTAGCTGCTCTCGAGTGGTTGGGCCAGCTGGTGGCTGCACCAGAGCACAGAGACTCGGCCATCGTGCCCCTTCCACCTTTAGCTGTGTCTGCCACGGAGTAGTGCAGGGTCTGGAGTCATGACTGGGGGGTCCTGGGGGGTCTCAGGCTTGGTCCTCTAGGTGACTGCTGGCCGTGCGGGGTGGGCAGGAGTGCCACTTTGGCTCCCAGGGCTGGCATCCTTGCCATGTCTCCTGATGTCTCTGAGTCCTCTGCGGTTCTGGGGAGGGTGGAGTGGCCTTGCCTTTGGCCACTGTCTGTTCTTCTGCCAGCTCTTGGTTTGAGCCTCTGCAGCTCTGCTGATCCCTTCAACTACTCTCCATCTTCTAAAAATGTGTTATCGGGAGGTGCCTGTGGCTCAGTGAGTAGGGTGTCGGCTCCATATACTGAGGGTGGCGGGTTCAAACCCCACCCCGGCCAAACTGCAACAACAACAAAAAATAGCCAGGTATTGTGGCAGGTGCCTGTAGTCCCAGCTACTCGAGAGGCTGAGACAGAGAATCACCTAAGCCCAATAGCTGGAGGTTGCTGTGAGCTGTGATGCCACAGCACTATACCAACAGAATGAGACTCTGTCTCTAAAAAAAAAGAGAGATAGCTGGGGTTGTGGCGGGTGCCTGTAGTCCCAGCTGCTCTGGAGGCTGAGGCAAGAGAATCTCCTAACCCCAAGAGCTGGAGGTTGCTGCTAGCTGTGATGCCACAGCACTCTACTGAGGGCAACAAGGTGAGACTCTGCCTCTAAAAAAAAAAATATGTTGTCACTTCTAGTTTTGTTTTCCTCTCCCATCCTGTTTGTCCTTGGGAATTTGTATTGTCTTTATTCCTTTTCTACTGTGTTGGGGAATTCCAGGAGGAGGAGGGACCCCGCATTTCTGACCTGTGGCTTCCCTGTGCGGTCTGTTCTCTCCTTTGCAGCCACACTGTATCCCGAGCGTCACACCCACTCTTCTGTCCCTGAGGCCTTGCGGAAAATGCTCTTGAAGCCATCCCCTGCAGCTGGTCAAGGATGTCACAGTGTTTGTTCCTGGAGGATGTGGGTTCTCTCCCTGGCTAGAGCTCCATACTCAGTTCGCGTGATTTCGCCTCTTACTGCACTTATGTTCATTTCTGACTTTCTCATCACTTCTCTGTGTAGAAAAAACAAGACCAGAAAGCTCCAGATAGAGATGCTATCTTCCGAGCAACAGCCAACCTGCCCTCCTACAACATGGACCGGGCCGTGGTCCAGACCAACATGAGAGATGTGAGTGTCGGCCCAGATTGGGGACCGTGTGTTGGTTGCAGTGGGTGGGAACCTCAAGAGGAGATGCTTACTCAGTATTTGGAAGTTGATAAAGGATATACTAGAATTCTACTATTTTTGCAACTTTTCTGTAAATCTGAAATTATTTCAAAGTAAGAAATTCAGAAGACACCTGAGGGCAGGATTGAAGGGATAGATAGCATTGGGGAAATGTTTAGAATTGGCCCTGAGGGCGGCGCCTGTGGCTAAGTGGGTAGGGCGATGGCTCCATATACTAAGGGTGGCAGGTTCAAACCCTGCCTGGCCAACCTGCAACAAAAAAATAGCCAGGCATTGTGGTGGCGCCTGTAGTCTCAGCTACTCGTGAGGCTGAGGCAGGAGAATCGCCAAGTCCAGGAGTTGGAGGTTGCTGTGAGCTATGACGCCATGGCATTCTACCGAGGGTGATAAAGTGAGACTCTGTCTCTATAAAAAAAAAAAAAAGAATTTGGTCCTGAATTTGGCAAAAAATTGTAGATAGAAATCTGAACTCTCATATGTTTTGTGTTGGAAATTTCTTTCTTTTTTTTTTTTTTTGGGAGACAGAGCCTTAAGCTGTACCCCTGGGTAGAGTGCTATGGCATCCTAGCTCACAGCAACCTCCAACTCCTGGGCTCAAGCGAGTCTCCTGCCTCAGCCTCCCAAGTAGCTGGGACCACAGGTGCCCGTCACAACGCCTGGCTATTTTTTTGGTTACAGCTGTCATTGTCGTTTTGGTGGGCCCGGGCTGGATTCTAACCCACCACCTTAGGTGTATGTGGCTGGCACCTTAGCCATTTGAGCCACAGGCACTGAGCTGGAAATTTCTGAGTTAAAAGCATTTGCAGTGCTCATGTGAACTAACCCAGCGTGTAGGACACAGGCTGTGCCCAGCAAGATGGGGCCCAGCCTTCAACGGTGTCTGACACCTGTCCAATCTAAGAGCACTGTTGTGAGCCATGGCTTGTTTTAGGAGAACTCTTTTGGAGACTTCCAGAGAGCTGCCTACTAACCAGCACTTTGTAGCTCTTCCAAGGTGGCCACATATGCATCCCCCTGTGTGTCCAGCTCAGAGGTGTGCCCCAGTGTGGTGTCTCACAGGAAGGCTGAGGTTTGTGAGGGAGGAGACAGCTGACCCCCAACCTCTAGGCCCTGTAACCAGGTGCTAGAGAGGGTCTCTGACCAGGTCCCACCCACTCCTACTTTCCACCAAGAAGACTGGCCAAGGTTGGTGCTGTTGACACTCCTGCCAGGTAGCAGGCAGTGCTGGGGCTGGGCCTCTCGGCACGTCCATCCGCTTTCTTCAGTGAGTCCGAGGAGTTCAGAAGCCAGTTTCCTCCTTGGCTGTGGGACTGAGTGTCATACCATCACTGAGTGACTGTCACTGGGTGTTGCTGTGTTGCTGGCTGAGAGGCCCTGCTCATGGCCTGTCTGTGCAGGCACAAGGGCACCCTCAGTCCCGCTGGCTGTGGGGCCTCCTGCTAACCCCACCCCTCTTCCTCCTCAGCTTCTGTCCACTCTCTTGAATGAAAGCATTGTCATTCTGATTCTCACAGGTTTAGAGTTCTAGGACAGGGGAATGGGGTTGTATATCCAAGTAGGTTTGTTGGACAATTTAGAGAAACGATCTCTACTTTTTCACTGCAGTTCCAGACAGAACTCCGAAAGATATTGGTGTCTCTCATCAAGGTGGCGCAGAAGTTGTTAGCACTGAACCCAGATGCAGTGGAATTGTTTAAGAAGGCGAACGGTACGTGCAAACCCCCAAGTGATCACATGATTCTACTTTCACATGCAGCGGTTTGCCTGCTGCCTCAGAGAATGTTTTTATAGCCCTCGGTGTTGAAACTGGAAAATTCAGCACCGTGCATTTTCCATGTGCAGTTGGTGTGGGCTAGTGGCCTGTGTGTGCATCCTTCCCCGTGTGTGTGCATGAGAGTGCTGGTTGCTTCTCAGATATCCTGTGGTTTCAGAAAGCTGCTGAGAGTGTTTGGCACTAAGGGAAGCTAAACTCACGTCTGGTGTCTCGCCCACAGCTATGCTGGATGAGGACGAGGAAGAGCGTGTAGATGAGGCTGCTCTGCGGCAGCTCACGGAGATGGGCTTTCCTGAGACAAGAGCCACCAAGGCCCTGCGGCTGAGCCAGTATGTGGGCCACACTCCCTGCCAGGGACACTGGGGTTGAGGCTTGTAGGGCTCCCCTGGGGGTGACATCTGTTATCCCAAACACTTTGTTTGACTGAATCATTTCTAATATATGTGAGTTTTTATATTTATTTATTTATTTTGAGACAGAGCCTCAAGCTGTCGCCCTGGGTAGAGTGCTGTGACATCACAGCTCACAGCAACTTCCAACTCCTGGGCTTAAGTGATTCTCTTGCCTCAGCCTCCCAAGTAGCTGGGACTATAGGCGCCTGCCACAACGCCCAGCTATTTTTTTTTTTTTTTTAATTTTTAGTTGTAGTTGTCATTGTTCTTTTGGCAGGCCTGGACTGGATTCGAACCTGCCAGCTGTGGTGTATATGGCTGACGCCTTAGCTACAGGCACTGAGCCAATGTGTGAATTTTTAAAGAGGTGCCTTATATATGTGCCTCAAAAGTGTGTCATGTGTTGGGGGAGGGGTGACGTAATAATCATCTAGTGAATTCTCTCTGGGCTATGGTTTTATGAGAACAGAACCTGAAGCCTGTTCATAATAGTGTCGTTGATTCTGAACAGTTGTCGTTTAGGGGGCTTTTGGGGTTTTTATGAGACAGATTCTTAACTTTGTGCCCTGGGTAGAGTGTTGTGGGTCATAGCTCACAGCAACCTTAAACTCTCAGGCTTGAACAATCCTTCTGCCTTAGCCTCCCCAGTACCTGGGACTATAGCCACCTGCTTGTAACGCCTGGCTTTTTTTTTCTGTTTTTAGTAGAGATGGGTTCTCACTCTTGCTCAGGCGATCCACCCACCTCCCAGAGTGCTGGGATTATAGGCCAGAGCTGCCATGCCCAGCCTATACCTGTATTTAGATTCCCATCGTAAGGAATCATTAGCCTGATGCTAGAGAAGTCACTAAAATAGAAAAGCCTTTGGGGGAGTGTACAGGAAATAGAGGCCCTGGTCAGGTCACCTGGGCATGTTGGAGAGTCTCCTGCTCCTTTCAGCATGTCAGTGCCCCAAGCCATGGAGTGGCTGATTGAGCACGCCGAAGACCCCACCATAGATGCACCCCTGCCTGGCCAGGCCTCTCCCCCAGCTGAGGGGGCCACAGCAGGTGCCTCTGAGGCTCCTGCTGGAACCAGCGCAGACGACGAGGAGGCCAGGGATGAATTAACGGAGATCTTCAAGAAGATTCGGAGGAAAAGGGAATTTCGGGCTGATGCTCGGGTATGTGTTGCCTTGTGTAGAGGAAGCCAGTGCCATGTCTCTGACTCTCCCCGGAGAGAGTAAAACTGGGAAGTTTGCAGAAAAGTTGGGAGGCTTGAATATCAGAGTTCACCTGTAAGATACTCACTCTTGAATCCAGGGGCCCAGATTTCCAACCAGTAGTTCATCAACATGCCTGTCATCTTTTGAAAAAACTCACAGCTTTCTAGTTCCTGCTCACATTGCAGGTGTCTATGAGCTGCCCCCTATTGGCACAGCCCCTCTGGACTTGGGTGGGGCAGTGACTCCCAGGGCTGCGTGGTTTCTCCTCACGACCTCCCTATGCAGCCTCTTGTTTGCTGTGGGAATTCCATGTGGCCTGGTCACAGAGTCCTCCTGGGATCATTCTGAGTTTGGTTCTACCAGGACTGACCAGAACCACCAGCCAGAGGCAGCTTTTATCTCAGCTTTCCTGGTGGGACTCCCCTTCCCTGAGTGCAGTTCCACAGCCCACAGCTGGGCCTTCCCTGCACAGGGCCCTGCATCTTCTTGTCTTTCCAGGATCCTGATGTGTGAGCAGGGTTCCATTCCCCACTCTGTACCTGGCATAGCCCATATCCACTCCCTGTATGTGGACATCAGCTCCCCAGGCTCTGAGGATGCCCCCTGCCTCCCAGGTTCTGAGGATGCCCCCTGCCCTCCCAGGCTCTGAGGATGCCCCCTGCCCTCCCAGGCTCTGAGGATGCCCCCTCCCTCCCAGGCTCTGAGGATGCCCCCTGCCTCCCAGGGCTGGTTTTCTGGCATCCTTTGTTTTCATCCCTTTCTGATTGTGAGCTTAGCTGTATGTTTAAAAATATTTTTGCTTTATTTAACACTGCGTTTCTGAGTTTACCAGGAGCTTGTCTTGTTGCCTTCACCTTCCAGGGAGCCTGTCAGGGAAGGCAGCTGCCCAGTGGCCAGACTTCACACTCTCCTGCCTGGGTCCCTGTGGCTGGGGCTTGTTAGCTTGTGCCTCTCTTTGCTGTCTCTCCTTATGTGTATTCAACCCAGGTGTTCATTCCTACTTGTTCTCCTAGGACACTCCCCCACTGCTGCTGTCCTTCCTGTCTTCTCTGGGGCACACAGTTTCATAGGATGTCTTCTTGGGTGACAGTTGTGTAAAGTTGTCAGGGGTTGAGGGGCTGGTGTGTCACCCTTCTCCTGCCTGTGATTCCTTGGCAGTTGTGGAACAGGCAGCTGGCAGAGGTAAAGATGCTACTACATTCCCAGGAAGCCACCACGTCCGGCTTTCTGCTGAGCCCCACCCCCAGCTGTGCTCAGGAGGTGCAGGGGGCCCTCCCTGCCTGCTAGTGCCATGAGAAAGTCTTTCCTTTTCTCCTCTCACAGGCGGGGAGGAGCGGGGGCCGTCAGAGTGTCACCTGGGGAGTACTAGGGCATCATTTCCTGGGCTGAGTAGACATGATGGCAGAGAATGATTTTCTCTGAGCTAACAGTAAAGGCCATCCTGTCCCTGGATTTGGCAATGGATTCCTGGCTATGTCATGTGGGGGTCCTTCTCCCAGCATTTAATGTCAGAGGCCCTGGGGTTGGGACTCAGCCCAGGAAGGCAAGTGAGATAGACTGTGAACTCAGCAGCTTCCTGCCTGCCACCTGGGAGCTCTTCCATGGGGTTCTCTCTGAAACCCCTGTGGCCCATCCTGACTGGGTGCCTGGGAAAGCACATGTCTGCAGAGCTGTGTTTTGTGACGTTGACAAGAGGCGTGGAGGGCTGTGTGGGTCTGAGGTTAGATGGGCTGACTGCGGCCAGAGAACTGAGGAAGGGGGAGAGTGTTCCTAATTCCAGGGACAGGATTTGACCTTTGAAGGATTAGGAAAGGCCTTTAAAAATTGATGAAACTCTGTTTTTTTGTTTTTTTTTTGAGACAGAGCCTCAAGCTGCCCCCTGAGTAGAGTGCAATGGCATCACAGCTCACAGCAACCTCCAACTTCTAGGCTCAAGGGAGTCTACTGCCTCAGCCTCCCAAGTAGCTGGGACCGCAGGCCCCTGCCACAACGCCTGGCTATTTTTTTGGTTGCAGCCATCTTTGTTGTTTGGCAGGCCCAGCCTAGATTCCAACCTGCCAGCTCAGGTGTATGTGGCTGGTGCCTTAGCCGCTTGAGCCATAGGCGCCAAGCCAGAAATGACCTTTTTAAACATTGTTATAAAATTCCAGTGTAAAGTCAAGGCTGTATTATCTTGTTATATGACTTTGTCCTGAAAACGTATACCCTTCCCCCAGCACACTGAAGAGTGGGTCATTGCTCTGAGAATTAGTGTATTCTTGAACTATACCTCAAGTTTTGTCAATGTTAGAAGTTTAAAAATTTTAGTTTCTTTTTTCTAAGATAAAGTTTGAATAAAACCTCCCTTCTTCACAAATTACCAAGACATTTTTGTCTTCATTTAAATCAGATTTACCGATGTGACCTTTGATGTCACTTACTCTTGGGTAGCAGGGCCCTCTTGGTTAATCTTATGTGCAGTTTTATCCACCCAGTCATCAGCACAAAACCAAAAGGGTCTCCTCCCCTCCCCAGCCTGTGTTTCCCCCACAGACGAGCCTGGTCTGCTGAGCACAGTCACATCCTTGTACCCATTAGCTTTAGAATGTTAACAAGTAAGAAATGTTTTTTTTTTTTTTTTTTTTTTTGAGACAGAGCCTCAAGCTGTCCCCCTGGGTAGAGTGCTGTGGCATCACAGCTCACAGCAACCTCCAACTCCTGGGCTCAAGCAAGTCTCCTGCCTCAGCCTTCCAAGTAGCTGGGACCACAGGCGCCTGCCACAACGGCTGGCTATTTTTTGGTTGCAGCTGTCGTTGTTTGGCAGGCCCAGGCTGGATTCGAACCCACCGCCTTAGGTGTATGTGGCTGGCGCCTTAGCCACTTGAGCCACAGGCACCGAGCCAGAAATGTTTCCATAAAGCTGTGAGGAAAGAGAACTTAGATGAAAATCTCTTCTGCTAAGATGTTAATGAAAAGTGCTCCACATGTGGCCCTGGCACTGCACCTTCCATGGGTGGCCTTTAACCAGCGGTTCAATTCTCGCCTAGGCTGTGGCTTCCCTAATGGAGATGGGATTTGACGAGAAGGAAGTACTGGACGCCCTCCGTGTGAACAACAACCAGCAGAACGCAGCTGTGAGTAGCAGGCGGGCGGGGCTCTGGTGCTGTCTATCTCCTGAGGGCCACGTGCTCTGAGGCTGTGTCTGGCCACTTTCACATGGACTCACATTGCTCTCTAAGTGGAACAGTGAGATAGTTGCGCCCAGTACCATAATGTTTGAAAACACTGAGAAAATTCTGGGCTTTGCCTTGCTAAAAATAGTACTTACTTGTACATATTGTATGGTGAGGGTATGACTTATTAATTTATTTTATTAGACGGACTCTAAGGTAGATTCCCTTTCTGTAAACACATGCCAGCTACTCACAGAAGTCTACCCAGGGAGAAGATCCAAGGGGGCAGCAATGCCCTCCACTTGTTCAGAGGGTCGAAGGCTTTGGCTACCAAGCTGGATGCTGTGTCTGCATTCAGACGCTCCAGGCAGTAGGCTGGCTGTAACTGGAGCTCAGTCATGCTGGTGTCCTCCCTGGAACAAAGCCAGGTGTTGGGTGCACTTGTTAATTACCCTTCTGACACTTCTGGGAAGGCCCTGCTGGTCTGTGGTGTGGCCTGGGGAGCGGCAGTGGCCAGGTTGCCCTGCGGCATTGGTGTCTGCAGAAGCCCAGTTGGGGGTGTTTTTCTCCAGCCTGATGTGCCTTAGGCCAGGTTTGTTTAGATAATAAAGTCTCTTGCAGTTTGAGCACCTTGGGGACTTGCCAGGGGCTCACAGAAGGGGCCAGCTGCAGCGTCTGATGTGATGGTGTGCTGAGAAGGAACTAATGGCAGCCCTGATGTGCTTGCTTTGCAGTGCGAGTGGCTGCTGGGGGACCGGAAGCCCTCGCCTGAGGAGCTGGACAAGGGCATTGACCCCGACAGCCCTCTCTTCCAGGCCATCCTGGATAACCCCGTGGTGCAGCTGGGTCTGACCAACCCTAAAACACTCCTAGGTATGTGCACTTCACTGTGGCACTCAGGTGGGAGTGTGGGCTGGTGTCATAGAAGCTGTGCTGGGAACCGCTGTGCAGAGGTGGTGCTCCCTGCCCTGCAGGTAGGCAGCTGTGGCTTCTGCCAAGGTCTCCAAAGGACCGGAGAGTCAGGTTCTTCTGACTGTCTCCTGCATGAACAGCTGGATACAAGCTCTGGAAAACAGGTCCAGGAGGGTGGCTCCCAGCCACCCTTAAACTAATGTGAGCACAGGCAGGGTGTGAGGCTTTGCTCTTATTTGTGAGGGGTCTTTTCAGTAATTGTATTTATTGTGAGATATGTATATGCAAAGCGTCTATAATATTTGTAACTTCAAAGAGTAAGAAAAGCAAACTGGGCACAATAGTGCACATCTGTAGTCTCAGTTACCCAGGAGGCCAAGGCAGGAGGATGGCTGGAGCCCAGGAGTTCAAGGCTGCAGTGAGCTGTGATCTCACCACTGCCCTCCAGCCTGGGCGACAGACAGAGTGAGACTGTCTCTTAGAAAAAAGGGCTAATGTTAACCCCAATAGCCATGTATCTACTATTCATCTTAAAATGGAGAGTGTTTCTGTCCTTCTGGGACTGATCACCCTTTCTCCCTCTAGAACAGCGCTGTCCTGAGGACTAACCGTCCCTTTGCTTTCCTCCAGAATTTTGCCAGGTTTCTGTGTGCCCTGACAAGCTGTCACTTGTCCCTGGCTTTATGTAAATAGAACCACATTTGGGTAGGCTTCTGGGCCTGTGAGTTCTTTTGTTTTGTTTTGTCAAGTATATAACTTAGTGTACCACGGCTGATCCCTGACTGCTCTCTGGTGGCGGCTGGGGTTGTGGCGAGTGGTGCTGTTCTGAGCACGCTTGTCCCTGTGCCCCAGTGCGCTGGGGGAGGGTTTCTCTAAGCTGAATACTTGGGGCTAGGCTCACAGGGCCCTTGTTTCTCCCCAGAAGTCAGGGAAGGGACTCTGCTGCCTCAGCTGGCAGGGAGGTGTCTCAGCTCTATGGCTGCTGTCCCCAATAGCAGAGCTAAGCTCCACTAGGGAGCTTATCTGCCCCTCCCAGGCCTCAGCTGTGAGGCCTCCTGCTCAGCTTTAGGCCTGTTTTTCTGCTGGATTATTTTCCTTATTCATTCAGAAAGTCCCTCATATTCTGGACACTGGCCCTTTACTATTTGGATTGCAAATGTTGTGTGTTTTCTGGCTTCTTACTTGTGTTGATCAGCAAAAGTTTGTTTTGATGTGCTTTGTATATCTCTTTTCTTTTATGCTCTGAACCTTAAAAAGAAAACCACCTTATCCCAAGGTCAGTGAGACATTTTAATTTTTTTCTAAAATTTTTTTTCTTTTTTTCTTTCTTTCTTTCTTTTTTTTTTTTTTGAGACAGAGCCTCAAGTTGTCACCTTGGGTAGAGTGCTGGGGTGTCACAGCTCACAGCAACCTCAGACTCTTGGGCTCAAGTGATTCTCTTGCCTCATCCTCCCAAGTAGCTGGGACTACAAGCGCCCACCACAATGCCCAGCTTTTTTGTTTTGTTGTTGTTGCAGTTGTCGTCGTTTAGCAGGCCCAGGCCAGGTTTGAATCCCTATCCTTGGTGCATGTGGCTGGCACCCTGCCCACTGAGCCACGGGCGCTGCCTTTTTCTGAAAGTTTTAAAATGTCTCCTTATTTCAGTCTGGAGTCTACCTGGAAGGGAATTTTCCTCTTTGTACCCATGTATCTGTTTGAGTTCATTTTTATTCTCAGTGGTCCCTCTCACACTGAGAGCATGTCTCTCCCCCAACTTGGAGACCCTGGGTAATAATATGCTGCCTTGGGGTCTGGCCACAAGTCTTTTCTGCAGGATTTTCCTTTGCTTTTTTACCATTTAGATCGCTACCTACAGTGTGTTCTTACAGATATGTTTGAGCAGTAAAGGAAGTCCTCCTTTTCCTGTAGTTTATCTGCATGTGGGTCTTTTCTCCCATTTCTGACCAGATTGGACAGGGTGAGCACCCAGTTTGCAGGTGCTGAGTCAGTGGAGCGCAGGGTACTGGCCACAGGGCGGGCACTCACATTCCCCGCACCCTGGCCACCAAGAGGGCAGTAAGCATGTGACTCTCAGCTCCCCAGAGCTCTGCGGGGCAGGACTCGCTCTCCCTGACCAGAGCCTCTGTGCAGCCACCTGTCATCTCCAGACCCTTCAGACTCACCTGCTGTGCGGCTCCTCAAAGTTGTGTGTTTCTCTCAAGCTTGTACTTAAACATTTCTGAAGAGGTTTTAGAAGAAATACAGTGTCCATTATGGAATCTTTGGAAAATGAAGGAAAGAGTGAAGAAGCGACTAGAAGTCACCTCTAATTCTCTCCCTCCCATCAGAGTGTTTCCTTCTGATGTCTTCCCGGGTGTCTGTGTGCCTGGCAGGGCTGCAGTCATCCTGTGAGACCATGCATTCTTCTCACCTTCACATCACGTTTGATGCCATATCTCTTGCTCTTACTACTTTAAAAATGAGATTTGAGTGGTGGGTGCAGAGGAGTTGGCTCTGCAGCTGTGCTGCCATTGTGTAGTACCACCTCAGGGGTCTGGTCACTGGAAGTGTTGTGGACTCACCGCTGCAATAAGCCTTTTTTTGCACCTGCTCATTTGGGTGCAGCTCGCGTTTCCTAAGGATAAGTAAAGACAAGTCCCATGATCTGCTTACAGAACGGGGGACCTTTTAAGACTGTTGATGTCTTATGAGCTTGCTCTCTGAGGTTACCACCTGAGATCTCCCCAGAACAGTCTCACTCACCTCCCTTTTGTAGACAAAGGCCTGATTGGTTCAATGTGTGCTCCCGTGCTGGCCAGCTGCATCTCTTTTGCATATTGCCTGTGCGTCCGCTGTCTGCTTGTCAGCAGTGAAGGTGAGCTTAGCGCTTCGCCGGCTGCTTGTTACCTGGTGCGGGCACAGCCCTTGTTGCATGTTGCAAATTTACTTGCGTGCATTTTTTTGAAAAACAGAAGTTAAGTGCAGAAGAAAGTCCCTTCTACAGATAAACATTCATCTGCTTGGCTTTTCACATTTAATTACTTGTTTTCATCTTTTTGTTCAACTCTTTCATCCTCTGGCATGTGCTGCACTATTGGCTGGGAGGAAGTCAGGGTCCAGCTGCGGGTGTGGCAGCCCTTCCTGTCCTCAGGATCTGTGAGGCTGCCCTCGCTGTGAAGTGTCTTCTCACAGATTTCAGCTTGTCTAACTGCAGCCTCTTTCTGAGAGTTGAAACTGGGTTTCAGAGGATTATAGTCAGGAGAGCACCAGGGTGTTGTAGCTGTGTGGACAGAGCCACCTCAGGTTCACAGTGACCTTGCAGCTCAGTCCGAGAGCTTGTGCCACTTTTGCTGATGAGCTGTGCTGAAATAGCCAGGCCTGGCATGAAGCTGTCTAGTCCTGATGGAGCAGCGTGGCACCCTGCAGAGGGCACACACCTTCACTCTGGCCAGCACCTCAGAGCTGTTTGCTAAAAGCACCAGCACCAATTATTTTGGGAAAACAATTTTTTAAAACCATTCAGAAGATCAAAGTTTTCCTTTCGAGACATACTCTATTAAATTTTTAATGATTAGTTTTAAAAGAAAATAATTTTTTTATGATTGAAAGTTAGAGGTTTCTCATTTAATACTAAATTTGTAACATTTAATATAAGTTTATGTATTTATACAACATTTGTATGTAAGTCTGTCTACAAGCTTATATTTCTGTGCAAGGCCTTTTTTCTCAGGATAGTGTTGGAAGTGGGGATGGGGGCCAGACAGCTTTTAGGTGGGTGTGCCAGGGGTGCTCAGGCGGGCCAGGGGGACCCCCATTGTCCATCTTAGACCCATAGGGTTCTGGGGTCAGTGCAGTGGGTGGACTGCAGGCTGAGGGCTGGCAGCAGTCCTTGGAGGTCCTGGCTGCTTCAAGCCCCCCCCCCCCCTTTTCATCATGCAGCTCTTGCAAAGGGATGTTACGCTAGTTCTTGGGGCAGGTGTGGGGCACAGATGCCACTCTCAGCTGTGCTCTGCTCTTCCTGCAGCATTCGAGGACATGCTGGAGAACCCACTGAACAGCACCCAGTGGATGAATGATCCAGAAACGGGGCCGGTCATGCTACAGATCTCTAGGATCTTCCAGACACTGAACCGCACATAGGCAGTGCTGTCCCCTCGGCTGTCCAGCTGCTGCAGCCTCCTCAGGAGCAGCGGGAGATGGGGAGAGGGTGCCTCGCCCGGAGACCACCCCCAGCGCCCGGCTGGGCTGTAGGAGGAGCCAGCGCTACCCTTGCTCCCTGCCCTCGCTGCTTACAGCCTTCTGCGCTGTATTGCGTGAGGCCGCGCTTCGAGCATGTGACAGGCTTTTACAGAGGTGGCTTCAGGCTGGGAAGCAGAAGGGCAGCCTCCTCTGCGGAGCTCCCCTCCGGCTGGCACAGTACTGCCTGAATTGACCCTTTGGCGTTTGCGTGTGGAGCCCACGTGTTTGAAGAAAGGCACGTTTCAGTGCAAAGTGTCAGTGTCAAACTTACCACTTCAGCTGCAGTAATTCACAGATGACTTTTCTTTAATAAATAAAATCCCCTTTTCCTATTTTCTGTCTTGGTATCACTTCAGTGCCAGAGAAGAAGCTGCGTGCCTCCTTCTGCTGTCTGCATTCCCCAGAAGCTCCCACACTGTTTCTGCCTGGGCAGGTCCTGTGGCCACATGGACTTTGTGGTTCAGTCTTTTTTTTTTCTTGTAAGACAGAGTCTCATCTTGTTGCCCCTGGTAGATGCCATGGCATCATAGCTCCCAGCAGCCTCAGACTCTTAAGCTCAAGTGATTCTTTTGCCTCAGCCTTCCAAGTAGCTGGGAATATAGGCGCCTGCACAATGCCAGTTTTTTTGTTTTTGGTTTTTTTTTTCCTCTTAGAGACAGGATCTCACTCTAGTTCAGGCTGGTCTCAAACTCATGAGCTTAGGCGATCCATCTGCCTTGGCCTCCCAGAATGCAGGGATTACAGGTGTGAGCCACCACGCCCAGCCTTTTTTTTTTTTTTTTTTTGAGACAGACTCTTGCTTTGTCACCCTTGGTTGAGTGCTATGAGGATCCCAGAGTTGGAAGGAAAAAGGAGGAACTGGAGCACAGGCAGCTCAGTCAGCTGCTAGCAAACCTTGCACACTCCACACCATGTGCAGGCCTAGTGTGTGGAGTGGTTTTGTGACCTCATTGCAGATGGGGAGTCGTTGGAGGTGGTCTTGATGTTAGAGAGCTACTGTTTTTCCAGGTCATGAAGATTGCCCTAAAAATATCCCTTACGGGCTGAGTGTGGTGGCTTAAGCCTGTGATCCCAGCAGTTTTGGAGGCCAAAGTGGGAGGATCTCTTGAGGCCAGAAGTTTGAGGCCAGCCTAAGCAAGAGACCCTGTCTCTACTAAAAATAGAAAAAACTAGCCGGGCATTCTGGCAGTTGCCTATAGTCCCAGCTACTCTGGAGGCCGAGGCAGGAGGATCCCTTGAGCCTAGGAGTTTGAGCTGGGCTCAAAGTTTGCTGTGAGCCATGATGACCCCACAGCACTCTAGCCTGTGGCAACAGAGGAAGACTGAAAAAAAAATTTTTTTTAAATTAAATTTTAAAGGGCAGTGCCTATGGCTCAAAGGAGTAGGGCACCGGCCCCATATGCCAGAGGTGGCGGGTTCAAACCCAGCCCCAGCCAAAACTGCAAAAAAAAAAAACTCCCAACAAAGTGCTCATGGACAGGGCATGGTGGAGCCACCTGCCGTTCAGAGGAGCCATGAGGTGGCAGCCAGGGCACCTCCCCAGGAGCCCCTGGGAGCTCTTCCCTCTGCCATGGGTGGTGTGGCGGAGGCTGGGTGATAGAGCAGAGAGGGCACAGTGGCTCCCAGCATAAGAGTCTGGCTGCTGTTGCTGGGTAGGTGGGGTGGGTGGGTGTGCTTTCTAGACCTTGGGGTGTGCACAGACTTCCCCACCCCTTGAGAGGCTGTCAGAGTCCCCCTCTTTGTTTTCTGCCTTAGAGTCTCTGCATGAACAGAGATGGCAGGTGAGGTCAGTGCCTGGCTGCTGCAGACCACTGAAGGGGGCCTGTGGGACTTTTCCTCCCCCACCACACTGGAGCCCCCACATTCCTGGCAATCCCCACACTGCCAGTCTGATGCCAAGTTAGTCACGGAGTCCCCAAGGGCCTGCTCCTGCTGGCCAAGCACAGGCCTCTAAAATGAGCCCCAAGGCAGAGGCGATAAGACCCCCATGTCACTCCTGGGGCTGCTGTGGAAGGGGCTCTGACTCTGCAGAGTGAGCTGGGGCCAGGGTGGCTCTCAAGGACACCAGCCAGGACTTGCTGTCTGCTCCCTGCCCAGGGTGGGCCCCGACATGTCCTCTGCCCTTGCCAGTCCAGGGGCTGTCTGTCTGGGGTCTCTGCCCAAGGCCCCCAGAGGTTAGTGAGCAGATGGTGCCCAGGGTGGGCCCCAGGTTTGGACAGGGCCCCTTGATGGTGGGGCCTGCGAGGGCAGGGCAGAGGTGCCTCACCATGGGACTCTGAAGCCTTTCATGTTTTTGTTTGCAGTTTTTGGCTGGGGCTGGGTTTGAACCCACCACCTCTGGCATATGGGACCAGCACCCTAATCCTTTGAGCCACAGGCGCTGCCCCCTTTCGTGTTTTTTTGTGCAGAAATGCCTAAGAGCCTGCAGTGCTCCTGCTGGAGGCAGTCATTGTCACCCATCATCAGGCCTGCCATGTGAGGCTGCCAGGGTGTCATCCCTGTAAAAGTGGCTGTCAAACCCCTCCTGAGAGACAGCCCGAGAAGAACCAAACTTGCCCCCAGCACGGGGCTTCCGTGGTGCCTTCGAGAACTCAACACCCTGCCTGCTTAGGTGTTGAGAAGGGGCGGCAGCCTCAGCACATGGCACGCTCACGCACTCTCATGTGCACACATGTACTCATGAACGCACAGCCCGCTTTCTGTCCTATAGAACAGTGGTCACCGGCCATTTTTGGCATCAGGGATGGGTTTCAATAAAAGACAATTTTTCCATTGACCAGGGTAAGGGGTGATTGTTTCAGGATGAGTCCAGCACGTCCTCCCATCTTCAGGCCTTAGATTCTGAGGAGGAGCCGCAGCCCAGATCCCCTGTGCGCGGTGTACAGTTGCAGTCTCAGCCTGTGAGATGCTGACACTGCTCCTGGGCTGACAGGAGGTGGCGCCAGTGGCTATGGGAGCGGTGAGGGCGGCTGTAAGCACAGACAAAGCTTCGCTTGTCCAACACTCACCTCCAGCCCCACTGATCTGTGGCCTGGTTCCTAACGGGCCACAGACCAGTCTGTGGCTGAGGTGTGAGGACCTGTCCAATAAGGTGACACCGGCCCACATGGGCCACCAAGTACTAAAACATGGTTTAGGAACTAAATTTTTGGGTTTTGAGACAGTCTTTCTCTGTCATCCAGGCTAGAGTGCCTTGGTGTCACCATACCTCACAGCAACCTCAAACTCCTCAGCTCACGGGATCCTCCTGCCTCGGGCCCCTGAGTAGTTGGGACCCATTACAGCCACCCACCACAATGCCTGGTTATGTTTTTTTTCTTTTCATAGAGACGGGGTCTCATTCTTCCTCAGGCTGGTCTTGAACTCCTGAGCTCAAATATCCTCTCACCTCAGCCTCCCAGTGCTGGGATTACAGGTGGAAGCCACTGTGCTGGGCTTGAATCTCTAATTTAATTAACCTAAGTTTATATGGCCAGGGTGGCAGTGGTGTCGGTGATACTGGGAGGCACAGGGCCAAGTGACTCTGTTGGGATCCCGAGTGTCGTGGGCCTAGTGGAGTGTTGCAGGTGCAGAGGGCAGATACAGTGCTGCTCACAGACATCTGAGCAGAACTAAGGAGCTGTGAAACTCTGGCTGCTTCCTGGGGCTGACCACATGTGGGCAGAGTTGGGGGCACCTCGGCCAGGAGGGTATTGTCCCCATACAGTGGCTGGTGGCCAGGACAGGGCAAAGGGAGCTCCACATGTACGTCCCTGACAAGTGACCACAGCTGCTGCCCCACGGCAACAGTCATGCATGCTCCTGGTTTGGGGACACATGTCAGAAATTGAGGTGTTGCAGGACACACCCCTCCCTGGGAGCCTCCTTCCTGCCTTTACCAGACACTCTGCCTCATGGCCACATCGCTCCAGCCTCTGCCTCTGCCATGCAGCCTCCCCCTGTGCCTCTTATAAGGATATTTGTCATTTAATTTAAGGCCCACGATAATCCAGGATTATCTTAAGATCCTTGATCACATCTGCCAAGACCCCTTTTCTTTTTTTTTTTTTGAGACAGAGCCTCAAGCTGTCCCCCTGGGTAGAGTGCCGTGGCATTACAGCTCATAGCAACCTCCAACTCCTGGGCTCAAGCGAGTCTCTTGCCTCTGCCTCCCAAGTAGCTGGGACCACAGGTGCCC